AGCATGTAGTGCGCGGCGCTGAACATTGTTCAGACGCTGGAGGTGACTCTGCGCAGCTCCCATCCATACAAGAGGCGCATACTCCATGACTGGTCGTACGAACGCCTTATACACTGTCGTCCGGCCGGCGGGGGTGAGGATGTGGGCGGCTCTGTTTAGGACCCCAAGCCGTTGGCGTGCACGGGTGGCTACGGAGCGTAGGTGATCGCCAAAGGTCAACTTGGCGTCCACCTTCACACCAAGGAGGGTGATGCTGATTGTCTCGGGCACCAGTGTGCCACCAAACAGGAGTGGGGGGAGATCTAAGCCGGCGCGTCTGAGGGTGGCTGTCATGGCCTGGGATTTAGTTGGTTCAAAAGTCACTTTCCTCGCACGGCCCTACTCGTGCAGTCGGTCAACGGACACCTGCAGTGACTGCGCTGCGACTTCCGGGGTCTGCTGGGAGGTGACTAAGCTGTATAAGGTTGTGTCATCAGCATAGGCCTCCAAGCTGGCGCCGTCAGCGAGAACGTCTGGCGCGTCGTTGACGTACGCCAGGAAAAGCGTTGGACCAAGAATGCTTCCCTGGGGGACTCCAGCGGAGGTCGTATACGAAGCTGACGTACGCCCTTCAACAAGGCACTGTAATGAACGAGTGTCCAGGTATGAGGCAAGCCATCTCTGGAGCGGACCATCGATGCCTAGGCTGCGCACCTTGTGGAGGAGGCCGACATGAGAGACACGGTCAAACGCTCCTGCGATGTCCACAGCAAGGATACGAGCCGCCCCTCCGCAGCCCACAGCGCTTGCCCAGGCAGTTTGGAGAGCTTGCAAAGCGTCTGATGTGCCGAGGCCTCTGCGAAATCCAAACTGGTGCGACGTGAGCAGATGGTGGTCCTCAAAATAGTTTACGATGTGTCTGTTTACTAGAGTTTCCATGAGTTTCGAGATTATGCACAGTAAGGATACGGGCCTATAGTTCTTAAGAGAGCATGTCTGAGAATACCAAAGTATGTGTGCAAGTGGATCTCTCCGATTTCGCTCAAAATTTGGAGGTAGGTTCCCTTTGGGGTGTAGATCGATTGTGCAAAGCCCTTGAAAACGTTTCTGAAGGGAACCTTGAAATTTGCATACCCCTCAAAAATGGCCAAAATATTACATTATTTATGGGTCTAGAAACGAGTCACACCACAGCGTATACGAACAAGCTATGAACAAAACTCCATCAAGCCAACATTGCCTCGCCTTAGAAGAGTTCCTGGAGCAGTACCGCTTAGCCATGCCAGGATCCCAGAAGACGAGGTCCAGCACCCCCTGACGCCACAAATGATCGTCTTGAAAATAGCCACTTTCCAAGCGCTGGCAAAACAGCCAGCTACGTCCTCAATAGGCCAGAACTATACACCGGCAGATAGTAGAACACCTCTTCTAGCGCTGAGGACATGTCCCCCATCTTCCTTTTGGGGTTTTCTTGAAATAAACTTTTTTGAATTTTTCCACTCGACCATGCTGAAAAATGGCCAAAGTCATACCTGCGCAGGAAAGCTCGCCGCTCAGCGACGTCTCCTTAGCAATTTCTACTCCAACACTACTCCCAAGGCCGCAGAACAAAGTGTATTGTTGGCTCTGACAAGAAAAAGCAGCGGTGATCACTTGTCACTCCAAACGACAAGCTTCTTCTTGCGCCACCAATACTTTTTTGGGCGACTGTTGATGCAAAAGTGACTGAAGGCATGAGCGCAGTTTTTGAATTTTATTGCAAGATGCACGGTGAGATCGCGTGCTCTGTGACGTAGGATGACGCTTCCTGGATCACGACACGCGGCCATGGATCGCGAACGTGCCTGGAACGCTACTCGGAACAGACCATGATGGCAGAGGTAAGAGCTGGCAGAGCTGTATTTCCTGCTTGATCTGCTGAGAACTCCCACAAACTGTCCTGTAGGAGTGTTGCAATGGCAGCAAGCCGTTGAAATATGCCCCTGCACAGCATGAGAGTTATTCATCTTTCACACTTACCTCCTGCAATCCCGAACATAGTCCAACAGTAAAAGTCCCTTGTTTTCATGTCAATGCTCGACAAAAGCTGCTAGCTCGGTCGCTTTGTGTTGACTGGCACGCGAGCAGGACTGGCTGCACGTACTTGTCGCGTGAACTGCATGAGAGATTTCTTACGTCATAAAGAATGTGATTTCATCATCATTTCACTGGTCTTCGACCTACATGGTCAGAGAAAGTCCCGGTTCGTAGGCCTACAACACGGTCAGCGTGTTCTTGAGCACAGTAACAACACAAGTGTGATCACTTCCAGACTAACGGGCGTTCAAGGCGAGTAACAAGCGCACTTGACGAAGGTGACTCTGAAATCTCGTGAGCCGTGATCCACGCGACTTGGCATTCTTGCGTCACAAGGCACGTGATTTCACCGTGCCTCTTGTAGTAAAATTCAAGATTTGCGCTCATGCCTGCAGTCACTTTTGCATCAACAGTCGTACAAAAAATTATTGGTGGCGCAAGAAGAAGCTTGTCGTTTGGAGTGACAAGTGATCACCGCTGCTTTTTCTTGTCAGAGCCAACAATACACTTTGTTCTGCGGCCTTGGGAGTAGTGTTGGAGTAGAAATTGCTGAGGAGACGTCGCTGAGGGGCGAGCTTTCCTGCGCAGGTATGACTTTGGCCATTTTTCAGCATGGTCGAGTGGAAAAATTCAAAAAAGTTTATTTCAAGAAAACCCCAAAAGGAAGATGGGGACATGTCCTCAGCGCTAGAAGAGGTGTTCTACTATCTGCCGGTGTATAGTTCTGGCCTATTGAGGTCGTAGCTGGCTGTTTTGCCAGCGCTTGGAAATTGGCTATTTTCAAGACGATCATTTGTGGCGTCAGGGGGTGCTGGACCTCGTCTTCTGGGATCCTGGCATGGCTAAGCGGTACTGCTCCAGGAACTCTTCTAAGGTGAGGCAATGTTGGCTTGATGGAGTTTTGTTCATAGCTTGTTCGTATACGCTGTGGCGTGACTCGTTTCTAGACCCATAAATAATGTAATATTTTGGCCATTTTTGGGGGTATGCAAATTTCAAGGTTCCCTTCAGAAACTTTTTCAAGGGCTTTTCACAATCGATCTACACCCCAAAGGGAACCTACCTCCAAATTTTGAGCGAAATCGGAGAGATCCACTTGCACACATACTTTGGTATTCTCAGACATGCTCTCTTAAGGGTTGAGCGGGAAGATCGCTTGTGGATCGGAACCACGTTGGCCGTCTTCCACATCCTAGGTTAGACTCCAGACCGGAAGCATAAAGCAAATAGCTTGGACAGTGGCTCTGCGAGCTCGTGGGCACATTCCTTAAGGACGCGAGCAGAAATACCGTCAGGCCCTGTAGCCTTGGAGACGTCGAGCTTTGTCAGAAGGCGGCGCACAGCCTCTGGGCGGAAGCGGATGGTGCGAAGAGGTGGAGCATCTGATGGAGCAGGGTCCCGTAGGTCAGCCTCCACAAGGTACGGACCGGCAACGCTGCATTTCTTCGAAAAGAAGCGAGCGAATGCCTCTGCTTTCTCTGAGCTCGTTGCCCACTCGCGGCCGTCAGAGTCGACAATTAGGGGAATTTCGGGCTGTGTGCGGTTGCCTGCAGCGCTCTTCAACTTCGTCCACCACCGTTTGTCTCTGAGGGACCCAGTTGAAAGGCTGCGACGGAGGCTGTCCTCCTTTGCACGTCGTGATCGGAAATGGGTGGCGATCGCTACAGTCACGGAATTGGTGAATGCCTGCTGAAGTGCTGGGTCATGAGGGTGTTTTCTCCAATCGCGCCAGCGCTTCTCCTTCTCCCTCTCGGTCTGGGTGCATTCAGGCGTCCACCATACCGGATCGGAAGGCCTCCTTTCCAGAACTTTGGATGGGACAAACTGTGCAACAGCTGCAGTTATCGAAGCGGTAACCTGCTCACACGAAGTTTCTGGGTCCGTGATGATATTACCCCATTCCAAGTTGCGAAGGTGCGCCCTGAGGCGATCCCAGTCTGCCCTGTTGTAGCGAAATACTGTTCGCTTAACAGGCGGTTCACGTCTAGGGAGCACAGAAGAAAAGTCTGACAGTACAACTGCATGATCAGATCGACCGAGGGGCGGAAGTATACGTGTAGTTACTGGGGATGTGAACGTTGACATTATGAGGTCTAGCGGGTTGTCTCCACGGGTCGGTACTGTGACGTGCTGAAAAAGAAGATGGGCAGCGCAGGTATCTTCGAGAGCCTCGCCTGCAGGCGTAGTTTTCGAGCTGTTCAACCAAGCCCGGTTGTGCACGTTGAAATCGCCAGCTAGGATAATGTGGGGGCCCTGGGGTATAGCTTCTGGGAGGATAGTGTCGAGATGATCAATTAGGGTGAGATCGCTAGGGGCACAGGACCCCGGCCGATACACTGCTCCCAAGACGGTGCGGAGACCTGGGCCCAGCTGGAGAGAGACCCAGATGATCTCATGTGCGGGGGACATGAGTTCAGGGATGAGCATGGAGGGGAGTGACGACTTCACCCAGTTGGCTACCCCTCCCCCATGTGCCGTTCTATCGAACCGAAATGGTGAGCTGTATCCAGGGAAACTAATGTCAGAGGGAAGCACTTTCTCCGCAGTGAACTTCGTTTCTGTCACAATTGCGACGTCGGGCTGATGCTGCAGGAGTGCGTGCTGTAGGTCGGGAAGTTTGCTGGCTAGGCCAAAAGCGTTTGTGCAGAGAATGCGAAGATGCTTGCTACCCTTCATTGCAGGAGGAAGTAACAATGAAATACGTAAAAGGTGTGGAGAACAACGTCACTGTAGGCTAGGATTGAGTATCCTGTGACACCAGTGGGCTGAAGCGTGAGCCCTGTGCTGGGGCAAGGGGCTGGCAGTGGCCAGGGTCGATGCTGTTGCTCTCTTTTTGTTTTTTAGAATTTTTGAAATCAGGCGAGGATTCCGCACTGGGACTGGTTCTCCTGCGTCGTTCGGAGGAAATGGCCTGTACCAAACTAAAGGCCACCATGTGTACTTACTGTCTTCAGTGGTAGTACCCATAACAGCTTTTGTTTTACTGTAGACGGAGCCGAGGTAGGTTGTGGAAGCTGTTACAGTGCATGTATATGCTGTAGCATGCCTCAGCTGATTAACTGTTGCAATCACATTGGCAGTGAGTAGAGCTCCAGTAGTATCAGTAGCTGCTGCTGATGCTCTTGCTGTTCCCATATCTGGCAATGGTTTAGGACATGAAACAGTGTACACTCTAGTACCCCCTGCATTCCATTGTTGGTTAGTCAGAGGCGCCCATTCTAGAGTTAGAGTAGTTGCCATCACAGTCACAGTGACTGATGTTAAATCGTCTGGATCTGTGCAAATACAAAAGAAGAGCATTTGTGGTGTAGAAGTATGTATAATTCTTCTATACACATGTCAACAAACAATGGATCACTCGTAGTGTTTTGCTACTCTGAGTTTCATGCACTGTGTGTAACCATCAGGCAAACAATATTCAATGCAGCTGGCTCGTGACTCGGGAAAGAAGGTTACAGCTTGCTTTTTTGACCGGAGCAAAGCCTTTGACCGAGTATGGCATCAGGGCCTGATGGCCAAACTCAAACACAACGGTGTCCAGGAAGCAGCACTGCGATGGTTCTCGGCGTACTTGATAGGACGTAGGCAGCGAGTACGAGTTGAGGGCACTACATCTGCCTTCCTTCCCATCCCGGCCGGAGTGCCTCAGTTTTTCGCATCTTTCTGACCTGTACAGCTCTATCTTCTTTTTTTCCTTATTTTGGTGCGTGTTTTTGGCCGTGACGCCGAGATCTCAGGTCGGCAGAGTCATCAATGCCCCACCATCACTGCTGCGTCCCAGCACAGCGCCTGCTCATTACTTGTCAGTTTGTCCTAGTCTCCGTACCATTGTCTTTCCTTATTCTTTTCGAGGTGGTTATGTGCACATAAGGCTACACCGTTTTTATCTGTGTTTCGCGTCCCCACGCGCATGTACTTCACAGCCGGAGTTTAAAAAATAAAAAACGGAACAATTTTTTTTTTTGGAAAATGCAATACAAATTTAATGCAAACCCAGAAAACCGGAAAATGTAACCCAAAAGGAAAAAACCCGAACATGATTGTTACACGTAACTATTATGTTGGCATCAATTAAATATTTTGTTCTATTTATCGCATGAGTAGTTACTCGCATGATTGTACTCAGCTCACATGTGTGTGTAATAAGCTGGGCTGCAAGTCACACAATCATCATGCCGCCTGTGTTTGGACAACAAGCATGGCAGAGGAGATACACTCATGTATTCATGTATGTACATGAACAGTGCCGCGTCGCTTCAATGTACACAAATGCAATGCACGTACACTGTTTTTTTTTTGGATGGCGTTTTTATTTTTTGCGCCCTCCCTCATTGATTTCATCGGATAAGGTGACGCGAAACATAGAAAAAAACGGCGTGGCCTAGTAAGGCCACACCAAGTTTTTTCATTGTTTCTCGTCACCGCGCGCGTACCTTTCTTGAGGATTGGACCAAAAAAATCTCGCGTCCCGGTAAACACGCATAAAAAGGCGTTGTAAAAGTACGCGCGGCGTCAAATCTGGAGTGCAGTGCTAGTGCACGAACCGAAGGACGACTTTTGCACCGTGTATGTACGCATACCGGTAGTTCAAGTACCACACCACCACACGACCTGGTCGTCTTCTTTGCTACACACAGTTCCGGTACAAGTCAAGACAGTGCATGACAGTGCACCGTTTTGGACTGACAGTGTTCCGGGCATCGGTAAACTTGCGGCATTGCAATTGACTGTCACGCGTGGTGTATAGTCTGATTTTAGGTCATAAATTGGGCCTTTGTAGTGTAAATAGCAGTTTTTGTTTTTCAAACCCTATTTTGTTTTTTTCCGCCCGCCCGCGTTCCTTTTGAGATTTTCAGGTGACGAGAAACAATGAAATAACTTGGTGTGGCCTAAAAAAAAAAAAAAAAAGGGCTTAGTCCTGGCTGGGACCACTGCTGTTTCTGGTATACACCATTGACCTGCCTGCCGCTTGTGAGAACGTGGGAGAGAACCAACCAGTCAAACTCACTCCTTCTGTTGTACATGTGGCTGCGCTTGTGTCTCTTCGTAGTACATGCGGTTGCACGTGTAGCTCTTTGTCGTACATGTGGCTGCTTTTGTGTCTCTTTGTTGTACATGCTGCTGAGTCGTGGTACATGCTGCTGCGCTGTTTTCGACTCCTGGGTACATGCGGCTGCACCGTCTTCTGTCCCTGTTGGTACACACTTGCTTGTCTTGTCCCCGTTGTACGCCTTCACTATAATATATTCTGTTGTCTCGTCTTGTCTCCGTGTCAGTTGTCTGTCGTTCGTTGTCAGTGTTAGTTGTCTGATAACCATGAGTTCTCCATCGCCTACTGAAGCGAAGTAGAAGAAAAAGCTCTCTAACAATTTGCACTAGTCCTTTGTTGTGTGGCGTGGTGAGGAGCCTAGAGGCAGTTCGGTCACGGTTCTCAAACCCGTGACGACATTTGGCGCCCAACAAATCGTATCCACGACCCTGAGTTCGTCTCCATATCAGCTGTGTTTTCGTCTCCTCTTCGTGTTCTCGCCATGGCCCAGCTACTTGAGTCTCACGAACGTCCAAGCCTCTCATGAGAGCGCCTACTCAGGTGAGAATGCCTTTGTAATTGTCTACTCTGCGTAATGTGTTGCCGTAACTTGTATTCGATTTCGAATTTTTTCAAATTGTTTTGCGTTGGGTGACTCTGGTCCCGGCAGGCAGTCCGTGGAACCTTGTTCTCTTGTGCTCGAGTGCGTAGTGTAGTCTAGCTGCCCGTTGTAAGTTCGCCCCGTTGTGTTCGTTGTTCCTGTGTCGCTCTGACTACCCTGTACTGTACGGTTGTGTGTATGAAAATTTCAAACTTCTGTTCGTGTGCTACGCGTTCGAATCTGGAACTTGTTTTTGCTTGCTCGTCGTGCATTCAGCATGGGTAGCTTTGATCTCGTCTTGTGTTGTGCACTTGTGCTTGTCACGGAGTTGCCGTCGGACTGCTCCGATATTGTGACTGTGTCGCGTGATTTGTTTGGATGTCCACCTGAACGTTCTCGAGGTGCTGCCTCGTTTGTAGTCGATCCATCTTTTGTTTCGTGTTTCTACCGTTTCACTAGTGCTAGTAGTAGTAGTAGTTTCTCCATGTTCCGTGCAGAGCGTTGTCAGGCTCAGTCATGCACTGTGCACCCAGTCGGAAAGCTGGTGGCTTCCGGTTTGGTGGGAGGTGTGAACTTCATGTAGGATTCTCGTTTCGGATCCAGGTTGAATTTTTTTGTGAGCGTATGGTTTTGTAATAATTGTGTTTCGGCATGTGGGTCTCTCTAGTTCGTTTGGGTGGGCGTCTGATCATGGTGAGCCACGGTCTGCCTGGTGGTCTGCAGGGATCCTGTGTTTTGTTGTATCGGTTTACCTTGCGGGTGTTATGGTTTCCGCGTGTTGCTGGTTGGCCCTTGCGTGCCCCAGTCGGTCCCTGACAGTTTTTGTCTCGGTTTTTTGGTTTTGCGAAGCGGATGTAGTTCCGTGTTTTTCAGGTTCAATCCCTGTGGTTTTTTCAGGTTCAATCCCTGTGGTTTTTTCAGGTTCAATCCCTGTGGTTTTTTCAGGTTAGAGACCTGTGGGTTTTTCAGGGTAGCGCCCTGTGGTTTTTCTTCATTATCTTTTGCGTATTGGTAACCGATTTGTTTGTGTGTCCTCAATGGTGTCCTCACTGATTAATTGCTCCTGTTTCAGTCGACGTGTTCTTCCTGGCTGTTCTTCCCTTCCTTCGTGTGCTTTTCTGATTTTTGGCGATGGCTGAGATGTTTGCGTCAGTCCGTGTTTCTTTCTGTGTGTGTCTTTCTGTCTCTGTGAGCTTTCGTAGCCCCATCGGCTGTGTGATGGTTTTCCGGACAACTCCTGTGGTTCCAGATGCCTGGTCACCCGGTTCAGCTGCCGCGGTCTTCGCAGTGCCGTCGGTTTGCCTTGGCTTCGTACCAGGGCAACGTGGTTACTTCCTGGCGGCCCACGCCTGAAAGTATGGCGGTTCCCTCTATGGGTGGGCCCGGTCTGTTTTCTTTTCACACATTTGTGCCTTGGCTTTTCCCCGTTGTCTGGAGTTACGTCTCTTACTGTTTTGGCCCTGCATGTTTTGTTTCTATTCTCCTGTGTATGTTGTTCACATTTGATTTCTTTTTCTCCTGTCTTTCTTCTAATTTTGTTTTGATTGCTTCCATCCACAGGAGTGGATGTCTTTTTTTTGATGGGGGATAGTGTTGTACATGTGGCTGCGCTTGTGTCTCTTCGTAGTACATGCGGTTGCACGTGTAGCTCTTTGTCGTACATGTGGCTGCTTTTGTGTCTCTTTGTTGTACATGCTGCTGAGTCGTGGTACATGCTGCTGCGCTGTTTTCGACTCCTGGGTACATGCGGCTGCACCGTCTTCTGTCCCTGTTGGTACACACTTGCTTGTCTTGTCCCCGTTGTACGCCTTCACTATAATATATTCTGTTGTCTCGTCTTGTCTCCGTGTCAGTTGTCTGTCGTTCGTTGTCAGTGTTAGTTGTCTGATAACCATGAGTTCTCCATCGCCTACTGAAGCGAAGTAGAAGAAAAAGCTCTCTAACAATTTGCACTAGTCCTTTGTTGTGTGGCGTGGCGAGGAGCCTAGAGCAGTTCGTGCACGGTTCTCAAACCCGTGACGACACTTCCACTCTAGACCACAGCACAATCATGCTCACAGACCATTAGGACAGGCAGTTTAGTTCAAACTGAAAGATTGAAGATTACACAAATGGAATGAAGGTAAACATGTTTTAAAAAGGAACAACGAAGCTGAAAGGAAAACTACAGAATCATCACCATGAATGCTAAAAAAACTCGTGTCTCTTGACAACTCTAAAAACTACATGCGCATCAAGAATACTTGACAAAATGACGATCGCAGTTCAAGCCAATCCTGGTTGCCAAAGCAACAGCATTCAAACTGTGTAAACACGTGCCAGCACAAAGAATCAAACAAATAAAATTTACGCGAAGCGATCAAGTGAACAGAAACCTGAATCGAAGAATTGCAGGTAAGAATTACAAATTAGTGAAAATTATTGAGTGCTCAATGCAAGTAATAATTGTTACCAGTCATGACAACTCGTGATGACACAACATCTCTCCCTGGTGGCAATTATTGCAGGTAACGGTGCGGAGGTCGCAGTGTACTGCGGTCACGAAGAAAACGTCCTACGTCACCGTCAAACTGAAGAGTAAGATCAACAGTGCACTCAGCAGCATCAACCTCATCAGAAACAGGTGGAGGATCTGACACAGGAGC